TGATACTATCACCTACCAATTTACCATTGATCATTTACCACAACTAAGTAGTTGGTGGCTCATAAAAAATGGCAATCACATTTCCATTGCATGCTCTCGGACATCATACTGCGCATTTTCAATTCGCCTCGATCGTTGCCCGATACTATATGTATCTATATATATATACCCCCGATACTTGTATAGTATTTATAGTTTGTTGAAAAAAAAGGGCTAAGCTTAATCCAATAGATCGAATAGATAACACGCAATTTCCCCCGGAAATCTGTGTACAATAAATGACAGAGCCCAACTATTTATAGGTCTTCAGTACCGATTTCTTCTTCAAGTGGTTTGCTTAGATTTCCAGAACTCCTTGAATCTGCGATGGGGCCAGACGGCCTCTGGAATTCAATTGGAACTGCTTTTCCTTTCGAGTGGCGGAACTTCCCGGGGTGGAAAGTTCATATGGTTATGGTTAGGTTGGTTTTGAAAAGGTTACTATAGGATTGGGGTTCGGATTCAGAGGTTGAGAGGTGGCTATGATACAGAGATTGGAGCCTTGTAGCTTATAATGTATGATTCATACATAGAACCCTGTAACCTTTCCTTTTATTACACATCAATCTTCAATCTTAACTATCCCCCATTTAGGTTTATCCTGTAACCTTTGTGATTGATTAACCTAAAAGCCGCTTAAAAGGCACCTTAAAACCTCATAGAACTTCCTTCCTGAGGTGGTCTAAACTGGTTTAGACATATATCTTTCACTGGGCACTGCCACACCCGTGGACACAACCAAGTTAATTAAAAGCTTTCAGCGCGTTCTTTTGACAATCGCCGCTAATGTCGCGCCTCTCAAATGCTGCTGCTGCTCCCGTTGATAGTGTTTTTCCGTGGGGTTGTCCTTGTGCGTGGACTGGACTTTTTCCACAATTAATTCTGGCAGCGGTTCTTTGCCAAGTGGCTGGGACAATTATGAAATTCCTGCCGGCTGCTCAATAATTTTTATCACATACATTTTTTATCGCAAATATCACAACTTCATCAGCAATCATGCAGCAGCAACTGCAACACGGGGCGGGCAGGCAGACAATTAGCCATAAAATTAGCTGCAAGTTGGCTCAAGGAATGTGCCATGTCGATGGCCAAGGCGCTCGGCGGTGGCAAATTGAAAACAATTTTAGATATTTGCATATAAATGCAACCTGAGACGGCTGCAGCAGCGGTGGCAATAGCAACATCAGCAGCAGCTGCCATGTTGCTAGACCCACAGTGGTAAGCACAAAAATAAAGTTCAAGTCTCTCTTAACAATTAAATGGGAAAGTAACTTTTAATTTTAGACTCCAAATAAAGTCTATGATAAGTTGCAGAACAAGTTGATTAAAGGAAATGCTGCTAGGCAGCTCGAATTTTAAAAGTTTCTAATAATCTATAGAGTTTCACGAATACCTTGAATATTTCAAGTTAATTATCACAAAAATATTCTCACAATTTTAATGACTTTATAAAATCATCAAATTGTTTATATTTCGACTTTATATTCAAACTTCCTGCCCACTTACCCCACGGTGCAAGGCCATAAAGTTTATCGGAATTGCATTTGCCATATAGTTATAAAGAAATGGAATATAAAAAAGTGGTGTGGTCAGTACTAAACAGGCGATAGGCAAAGGCCTTTATCAGCCAAAGAATATCAATATTTATATAGTTCCAACGGACTTGGCAACACTTATAAGGTAGCACTACATATTGCCAAGAAGCCGCCTCAAAAGATTGCTACACGTGGTCCAATCCATCGAGTTATTGACTGATACATATTATGGAAAAATAAAAGTAAAAGAAACAAACAGAAATATTTCCACCAAAGTTCAAACTACATTTCACGCCTAATTTCATCTGACAACAACAACAGCAGCCAAGTTGGGGGAATGTTTTTTACACATTTTCAGCTCTCTGTGGTGGCTGCTGTGTTAATTTTGAGACATAATTGCAGGCTCACCAGGATGAGAGAGGGGCTAAGAGGGGGAGGGACTGTAGGGGGGCAGGGGCAGGGGCAACTTCCAGAGGCGTTGTGGCAAAGGGGGGACAGCTGCGCCGACTGGTTATGACAGCAATGACAGCTGCGGCAGCGTCGGCATTTGAATAATTTGCAATTAAACGCTCCACGCGGCTCAGCAATTAAGCGAGGAGTCACGGGAATGGGGGCAGGGGTGAGGCAAAGGCACTGAGAGAAAAGTTTGGAGGGTACAACAATGACTTATCAGGAGGAAAGATGAAAAGGAAAGTCCTATTTCCTGATAGGGTGGGATATGTATCTATTTAAGATCACTTTTACTCTTTATGTACTCAAAGAAGTTGGATCCCATATATATTTAATTTGTAATTTACTTGAAGCTATTGTTTCTTAATTTATTTATTATATTTTCCTATCTTAATAACTAGTAATTTTCTCCAGTGACCTTTTGGGGGAGTGAGAAAAAAAGTGGCAAACATTTTCCCCCTGTGGCCACACGACGTATGCGTAATATTTGAATATGTTTCGCTGCGTCCAGCATGGTTGCCTTTTTGAACGGGTTTATCTGGTAGATAGGTAGGTAGTCCAGTCTTTTGGTCGCAGGACAGGAGTCCAAGTCCCGGATCACACCGAGAACATACGAATCCAAGAGTGTCCACGTCCATCAGCTGTCCGTCCGCAGCTGCTGAAAGTTGATGGCCCGCGATGAAGACAGCGGACCGGTCAAAACCAACACCCAACTGTGTTTCCAATTAAACGCCGCTTAGCCAAACAACGCGGCCAACAACCCAAACAACGTAAACAACGCAAACAACCCAAACGTCAGGCGCAACTTTCAGTTTGCTTTACGGTTAGCCAGCATCCAGCGGTTGCACTGAACTTGAATCTTTATTGGCTTGCCATGGATACCATGGATGCAGATACAGATACACATACAGATACAAATACAGATTCAGATCCAGATCACCGATCGAGATTCGGATACTACAAAAAACAAGTGTGATGTGATGTCTGACAGACTGACTAATTGATGGCCAGCTGATTGATTGATGGACTGCCGATTGATTTATGGTCATTCATGGGGGTTTTGCTTTAGATTCTAAGGCCAAGTAGAGTCTATAAGACTTTAAATGGTGTTCAAAGGTGTTCAGAGATTTTATTTATTGTCTGAGGAAATTGAAACAATATTTGTCAAGGAAGTTTAGTTCAGGAATTAGTTTGATGCATTATATTATCTTTGTTAATTTAAATCCATTTGTTTTTATTTCTTTCGTGCCGTGAATATTGCTCATTAGTTGCTTATTCAAGCCTCACTAACGAGTGACCTTAATTGCAAGAGTAAACTTTTTAGTAAAATATCATAGAAATTAGTTGGCTTGAAGCCATCCAGGCTAATGGATATACACTTGCTAATTCCACTCTCACTGCTCTTTTGTCAAACTTACAGTGAGTAAGATACTTTCCCTATAGGAAAAGATACCTTTCCTGTCCTATAAAAATCTCTAATAATACAAATCCAAGCCTTGCGCAGCAAGTTCACCAACGTGAGTGTGGAGTGCAGCCAGGAGTTTTGCTCCAGCACACGAGGCTGGCTCACAGCCAGAGGTGAGGTCAGCCTGGACATTCACCTGAATCGCACCTTGAGGAATGGCTTACGGACAACCATTACCCTGTTCCAGCTGGTGGAGACGGGCAGGGATAGCTACCAGAAGACCCTGTTCAGCTACGACATGGACACCTGCAAGACGTTGCGGGAACTGCTCCAGGCCAGCCTCATGAAGGTCTGGCTAAGGAACGTCTTCAAGTACGGGAATCTAGCGGATCGGTGTCCCATCCAGCCAGTGCGTAGCTTCTCCACATTAATCTCTTCCAGGAGAGACTGGGTCATAGTTTTCTATCCTTTGCATGCAGGCAGACTACGAAGTGCGAAACTTTCAGCTGGAGAACAACAGCATTCCGGCTTACCTGCCCCCGGGCTCCTATCGGTTGCATGACACAAATTACTATGGAAGGCCCAAGGGCAAGCAGCGGCGTCTGGTGGCCACCTTCGTATTGGACATAAAGTTCTATTAAATGGAAATGGAAAATGTTGGAAAAAATGTTGCCATTTCGAGGAGGGGGTCACGGGTCGGCTCAAGTTGCAAGGTTGCACTTGGCTTGACTAGGCTTTTGCTTGGATTTTCAATCCAAACTTTTCAAGGAGGCTCAAAGAAGGGAAAAGTCAAGTTATCTGCAAGGTCTTTTGGTTTTCCCACTCTGACATGGACAGGGTCTTTAACTAATTGCGTAATAAATTCAGGTGGATTTATGTGGCGACTCCTGCTGTCCTTGCTCATTTGCGGTGTCAAAAAGTCGCTCAATCTCAATGATTTACGTTCGCAGTGCTCCACATAATATTGTTTTGTCATAATTGCGAATTGTGAATTGTGTATTATGTGGGTGTTCCGGTTTGTGGTTTCAATTATCATGCCACAAAAGCTGGAAGGGGAAGTACTTGCACTCGAAAATGTATATCAATAAATAAAAGGTGTCTCTAGGGGACTTTCCCAGCCAAGTTTAAGCTGTGAAAGTTTAACAATAAATTTACTTAGAGGCTGAAATTAGTTGGGTTTAAAATTGGTTCATAAATTTGTAAGACGGCATTTCGCTTTAAAATTGTAAATAAAATGTTTAAAATATATTCGCAACTTAATATAGTTTTCGTATTGTGGGGTTACTTAAATCACCAACAATATAGACTATAAAATTAGTAAATATTTGTAAAAAGTTTGACAAGAAATACATCTGGATAAATTTAAGACAATTTAACGTAAGTTTTAGGGAAAGTTAATGATTATTTTAAGTAAACTAAAGTATGGAAACTTCTTGAAGAATATCATGTGGGTATACATTGGTGATTAGTTATAAATTTAAATTTTATTTATTAGACAAGACATTTTATTATTCTATTCTATTAGATTATTCCCTCTTACTAAGCACATTTTCATACCCTTTTCTTGGCAGGTTACCACAGCTTACGGTCTATGCCAAGATTATTTACCTCCTGATGGTGAGTACAATCCACTTTCTCTCCCCTTAATTTAATTTTAAATATAAAAAAGTACAAGTTGAGCTCATCGAAATTAATCATACGCACTGTTGGCTGACTTAGTCAGTCGAGAATCCTTCACATTGTCTGTCCGTGACTCTCCGGGGCGGAAGTTCATCACACTCGTCGCATCCGGCATTGGGTTTCTGTGGCTTGGAAGTGCAACAGTTTTATTTTGATAATCGCAGTTTTTTTGATATTTGCACCGACGGCGGGAAGACAAATATTGGGACTCGAGTGCCCTTGGGGGCGAGCGAGTGTTTTGACGCGTGCGCAAATATTCGATAATAATATCAAATGTTGTATCGCGGTTATATCATCCACGAACAAACCTGGTCAGAGGACAGAGCCAGAGCCAGAGGCCAAGCCCCGTGGCAGATCCACACCCAGGTACCGAAACTATGCCAAATATTTTATCAGCAGAAGGGAAATGCCCTGAAAGTCATTGATTTATCATCATCATTGATTTGTCTGGTGCGCGCTATCTGGCAAATATTTGTTGAGCAGGAAAAATAATAATAATAAAAACGGGGAAACTACAATGGAAATGGCGGGTAAATAATTATAAAAATGCCAAACAAGCGAGCGCGCTAATTAAATTATACTGTTTCTCCCATTCTTACACGTTTCTCCCTGCCAACCTGCCTCTCTTTTACACTTTTTTACACTTTTAATTTATTTGGCAATCAATTTGAAGTATGGCCCGGGGGACGTCGACATCGATGTCGGATGTTAATGTGCCGAAATAAATAACTGAAATATCTGGCATTCCAGGGGCGTGAAACGATCGGAGTTCCGTTTCCCCAAGCCTGTAAATGAGTAGTATGTAGTAGTATTTACCTGTTTGTTCTAAATGAACAACAAAATATTATGAATTTTTTTTATTTTGTTGTGCGAATAATTTTGGCATGAGTGTGCCCGGGGCTGTTACGACGAGTTGATTGAATTGTTCGCTGCCTCGAGTATTTTTTATTGAGCTCATCCAAGTACATACTTCTCATGCCCTAGGCATCCGAGAAATCTTTGACTCTGAGTCTGAGTCTGACTCTGGCTGAACCTCTTCATTTACTCGAGTATGCAAATAGTGACCCCCATCCAGAGATGTGTGATTATTTTTGGCAATAATCGATGTTCAAAAATATTCCACTTGCACCCAATGAGGATGTGAAGATGAGGGCCAAAGAGAAGTGTTAAAAATTGTCTGCTTGTTATTTGTTTTAACAAAAATACTTGTGACTTAGTTTGGAGTTGAGAAAAATGTAGGTTGACTTAAAGGTTTTAGGGGAGGGGTGAGTTGCTTAACTATTTAAATATAATTTAGAGAATTCAACCTATTTTTAAATATATATTAAGATATATATTTAAGTCTTGAATTGATCTTGAATTCAACCCTAATTTCTTTCTTATTAGTAATGTTTTCTGAAATGCTTTTCTTTTGATTTTTGTCTTTCCTTAAACGCAGACTAGACTCTAGTGCCTTCTTCTTTAAGTATCTTATATCTAAAGGATACAATAAGAACCTTCCATGAGCCTTGGTGTAAAATATTTCATCATTTTCCTTCCCTTTTTTTTGCTCCAATCTTTTCACTTTCCTATTAATTATTGGTTCACTTTAAGAAAACTTTGTCTACTTACTCAATGCGTTTATTAAAATGCAGCTTCACAAAACTTTAATATGCATATAGATACTGTTCAATATATATAAGATATAGATACAATTTAAAACATAAATCAAGATTTTATGAGCCAGTTCCATGGACTCCTCTGACACTGACTACACTCGCAATACTCGAATGTGTCGGGGATTCAGAGGCTCCTTTATAGCCGACGCTGGGATAGATGGATGGGTCTGGGAATTTAATATATCTAATGCAGGTAGAGTGCCTTTCCAGGGTTATTATATATATTTACAGACGACGCAAATCGGCAATGAACGTGTGCCGAGCAAATAAATGAGCAATCAAGGGCCAAATTAGCGGCGCTTTTTATGGTGACTTAGCATGGGGCTTTTGATAGCGTCGATTCTGATTGGCGCCACGATGTTATAGCAATTTGTGTGGAGGATAGGTGACTTGCACTACCCAAAAGATATCTATAAGCCCAAAGGAAAACTCGAGTATCTGTCACGAAATCAAATCAAAACGACAAAAAATGAAATTCATAATGTAAACTAAATATCATTTTATGGGTATTTCTTGGGAATTTTCAATAATCTTATCGCCGGAGATGTCTTAAATTGGCGTCTTTGTGAGCCAGAAAAAAAACGTAGAAGCTTCTCAATGAAATCCAGATAACATGGGATTTATCTGGCACGTAATTTTGCAGACAAAGTTTCCATTGAGAGAAGGTTTTTGGGCCTTGGAAAAACAAGTACTAATATTTCTTGAAGGCAATGATGAGTTTGAGAAGGGAAATCCCCTGAAATGTCATTGGTTTTTGCCTTTGGGCTACCAGGAAATACAAAAGGCTAGAAAGGAAACTAACTTGGGGAAGCCCAAGTTTATATACCATTGAATTTTGCAATCGAATAAGAATATTTGCATTCTTTGTATTTCATATGGCAATTTTTTCAAAATATCAAATTTAAAAAAACTCATAACTAAGTCAAAAGTGCAATAATTTTAAATCCAAATGCGTTTCTATGCTAGTTTTTATTAGATTAACAAATCTGCATACTCAATTTAAAACTTTAGAAAATTTAAATTTTTGGCAATTTTTGACAATTTTAACGATGTAACCCCTTATATAATTTTAAAAATTTTGAAAATTTTAAATTTTTGTCGGACATGGCTAGAAAGATTCGCCTGTTTAATCTGATCAAGAATATATATATTATTTATAGGGTCGGAAATGATTCCTTCACTCCATTAAAAGCTTCTGACTGAAATTTGAATACCATGCTAGGTTATAAAAATCTAAAACAGTTATTACGCATATTTATTTAAAAAGATATTGGTACTTTATTAAAGGTACGTAAATGTTCTTGAATTTATCTTTTATTTTAAGAAACATTTAATCAATTTTCCCCTAGTTTTTCTTCTGGCAAGAAGTTGCCAAGAGAGCTCGGTTTTATGACACAAATTATTGATAACTTTCAACCATTCTTTGGCAGCTCTGGTTGTGGTTTTATTAGTAAGTTTAAACGTTGTTTTGGTGTATTATTATTGGGCGCTGTTTCTCCTTTCTTTCACCTCTCGGTGCGTGTCGTTGCTGCTCCGCTTATCAGGAAATTATTTCAAAACGTTAATTGAATTGTCAATAGATGGGGAAGGCAGAGACTTGCTTTTTTCCCCTATTTTTTGGGTGTCTGGGTAAGAGCTGCTCTGATAGCGCAGACCGTAAGATATAGGGGGTGTTTATGTATATAGTATATATACTTCTTGGTATTGCCTCTATAAATACCAAGAGCCAAGTGTATGTAAGTTGGTCTCTAATTGCATTTACCAGATAAGAGCTCTCCTCCTCCTCCTCTGTGGAAATCCATTGGCAAGGCCGAATATGTATATATCCAAGCGGCGACTGCGAAGAACTTGTTATTGTTATTATTATTATTCTCGATATCGTCTCTGATCGATTCTGTCCCATTCCGATTCCGATGATTATCTTGATCGGCATTTGTTTTGGTCAACAGCGGAAAGTTTTTGTCGCGTTTTAGAAACGTGCTCGCCCGATAGGAGAGTTGTGCCAAAAAACGTGTTTCCCACAATCACTCTGACTTTTGGCATTGATAAATCGGGGGCTACCTCAAGAATTTATATAGAGAGATCGAGGATCGGGTTTAAATGATAGTTAGCCATGGGGGAATCCCCGAGATTAGGAAGTAATTGCAGTGGAGGTCAAAGCGACATTCCTCAAATGAAATAGTAATTAATTTAGCTAGCTTAATATAGGTTATTTCTATGTACTCTATATATACAGTTTAGTTATAGAACAACATGGTATTGGGATGTGAGAATCCCCTTGGTTCAAAGCTAACTCAAAGGTCACCTAACCAAGTTCATGATTCTTTGAATATATTAAGGCTTAAAGCCTGTTTAAGTATTATTAACTCAGTGACCTCTATATTAAAATTCTCATATGCCTCTGTTAACTTGACTAACCACAGAATTTCCTCATTAAATTTAAGGTTAAGATCTACATTAATAATAATTATTCAGAACAAAATGTTGCTCTATAATTTAATTTCATAAAGTAGTTACTTTATATTCTCTATTCATTAATTAAAAGTTCATAATAATCTTTAATTCTCAGAGTGCTTCTATATCACTTTATTCCTTAGAACTCTTGATTTTTCTAGTAATTTCTTTCAAGTTCTCTATTTATTATTAATTATTTCCCCCAAAGTAGATGCCAAAATATAGATAAATCCCAAAATCAAGCATCGAACTGCCAATCTTGTGGCTCCATGGGGCTGACCCGCTCTTGAGGCACAGACAGTTTGGTCGGTTGAGATATGAAAAAGTGGACAAGAGGCCTCAGTTATCTGGACATAATTTGATATGATATGAACATGATATGATCCCGCCAGCCAAGTCGTAAATTATGTATTGTTTTTGTTGGTTGAATTCTTGAAAGGCGGGACAATGCCAGTGATGATTTTGATTTATGCGCCGCAGCAGATACATTCAATGGTGGAATCGATCGATTTGGTTCTTTGGCCTTAAAAGGCTTTTGCTGTAAAATGCTTTTCCGACTTTCACGCCACGATTTCCGGTTGCCAAAGTGGAGTTTCATCCTTGTCTTTGACTTCGTTTTTTCTCTCTTTTCCATGTTGACTTTGCTAATGCATGGACAAATACTGCAGCACATTTTCCATGGGATAAAACGTTCCGATGTATTCTGGTGAGAGAGGGAATAATAAGTCCCATTATTGTGAAAACAATCGTTGTTTCGTTGACTATTCTTTGCTATCATATCTTTTGAAATGTTATAAATACCACCAGTAATTTGCCAATCGCCGC